GCCAAGGCGGGGGCAACCGGCTTAGAATTATGAAACAGGTAGAGAAATTACTTCTTCTCTGATTGGTTGACACTTCGTACCTAATAGTGCTGCCCTCACAGTTCGAGACAAAGAGAGGAAGTGGCGAGTGAGTAAGAGAGCATGATGTCAGCACAACACAAGCGAAACAAGTCACACTGGCAACCCATGTAGCTTGTCTCAATCTTTTCGCGCATTCGTATCCTTGGCGCTCCATCTGAAACACATGGCATGATATTCGACTTGTACTTTTCGCCCCTTAGGATTCTTGACCATACAGTCCAGCATATTTGCGAACGTTTTGAAACGACGATCATTTCTACAATTAGTAAAATTTTCGAAAACCCCCAAACCGCATTTTTGCTAATGGTTTCTACTTTATGAAGCTACAAAACTTTGTTAATTCAACCATCCCAATACTTGTTGACTGAGACGATCAGCAATCAATATTCTACGATACAAGGAGTTTCGAAAACAACGAATAATCTCGCAATTTTATACGATTTTTACGGTTAAAAATTTGAAAAACACAAAGCTAAAACCTGCAATCATATTCTCTTAGAAAGAGAATATTTAATATAGTAATTACCTACAAAAAATTCTCAAACTCTGAGTTTTAGAGAATTTGAGTAAACTTCTACTAATATTGAAATTTTCGAACACCCGTAAATTACATTCGTAGCTAATGGATTCTAATATATGAATGTATAGAATTTTTTTAATTCAGCCATTCCGGCCAACAATGAATATTATATTTGGATTCTCGTCCAGAGAGTGAAGATTCTAATTTCTCTATTAGAATTTCATAGAGAAATTATTCTATTAAAATCTTGAATTCTATTCAAATTCGATTGAATACTATTGAAATTAAATTGAATTCTCTTGAAATCCATTTAATTCTATTCAAATCCAATTGAAATTTTATTAAATTCCAGAAGTTCCAGAAGGTCCAAAAGTTGGCCAAAAACCGGCCATCGACGGTGGTTTTTGTGGTTTCTCATCGGAAAGAATTGAGAAATAATTGGGGATGTGCGAAGATATTAAATACATATATTCGTTTGTGTACATCGCAACAGAAACAAGCAATTTTTATCAGCAAAAATCGGAACCTCAAAATGTCCAAGTTTGAGGTCACGTACCAGTTACGATTTTTATTGAATTTCATTAATATTCATATCATCTGGGCGCTACTGGGTAAAAAATACAAATCGAATATCGCAACAGGTGTTTCAGTTGGAGCGTCTAGAGAGTTTGGACGGATGCGCGAAAATTATGAGATCGCAAGCACAGTAAAGTGAGACGGCATAGGTTTCTCGTCCGTATGGACACTCGACATAGAGCCCGGTGTTCTCTTTCTAAAGCAACTGCGCGGACTTGGATGCGCATTAAAATGGTGGGGATGAAAAAGTCTTCTATGATGAAGTAGAATTGTTTACTATGATAAGGCATGACATATAACAATATTATTCCAAACAACTTATGTATTTTAACAATTTTACAGTTACTAAAAATGTTTCTATTGCTAAAGTTTAAACGTTGAAAAACCAGTTGTATCTTAACGAAATAGAAGAAAATACAAGAAAATATAAAAAATACATTTGTGCATTTCAATATTTAATAAAATAAATTTCATTTTTCGAGACACATTAAAATACATACCATAACCTTTTCTAATCTTCATTAAATGAAATGCTAATTGTTAAAATTGATTCAATAGTTGATAAAAATATATATTTGCAATATTAATGAAATAGATTTGCAACTTACATTAAACTGGTTACATCTCGAAATTACAAATAAATTAAAAAAATCGAATAAGAAGCTCATAAAAAATTCAAATTGTATTCGATAGTTATTCGTGGTTAATGAACCGCCATCTAGAGTTAAATGTCACTTTGTGTCGTCTGTGGCAAACTTCTCACCGAATAGTCATATGATCGTTACGGAAAAGGGCGAGTCCGACTTCGATTTTAACGGATCTGTGTTTCGTGCGATCTAGTTGTGAAATTTTAAAAAACGACCCGTCAAAATGAAGGGTTGTCTGTTCAATATCAACGAAGGATACTTGGAAGGTCTTTGTCGTGGATTTAAATGTGGAATTCTTCAACAGAGTGATTATCTCAATCTTGTTCAGTGTGAGACCCTTGAAGGTACATCCTATTCAACAAATTCTACATTCACTCTGATATTTACAATTATATGAAACTTAATTGTTATACTTTATTTATTCGTATAGATTTGAAATTGCACTTGGCGGGTACAGACTATGGTAGCTTTTTGGCTAATGAACCATCACCATTGTCTGTCAGTGTGATTGATGATAAATTGAGGGAGAAGCTTGTTGTAGAGTTTGAACATATGCGTAATCATTCTGTTGAGCCACTGTCACAATTCTTAGATTTCATTACCTACAGTTACATGATCGACAATATCATTTTACTGATCACTGGAACATTGCATCAAAGACCAATTTCTGAATTGATCCCTAAATGTCATCCTCTTGGTAGTTTTGAACAAATGGAGGCTATTCATGTAGCAACTACACCTGCTGAGCTTTACAGTGCAGTCTTGGTGGATACGCCTTTGGGTATGATCCAAGGATTTAGTCTAAAATTTATCGTAAAAGAAGTTAAGACAATGTGCTTTATATTCTAATAATATGAATAACATATATGTTGCTACAGCTCCCTTTTTTGTGGATTGCATTTCTGAACAAGATTTAGATGAAATGAACATCGAAATAATCAGAAATACTTTGTACAAAGCTTACTTGGAAGCATTTTATAAGTTCTGTAAAAAAATTGGTGGGACAACTGCAGACACTATGTGCGAAATACTCGCGGTATAAAATTACTTTGATATAATTAAAATATAAATATGATCTTAAAAGTGTTATATATTAAATGTAAATTATATATGCAGTTCGAAGCTGATAGACGAGCAATTATTATAACAATCAACTCATTTGGAACTGAGCTGGGTAAAGATGACAGAGCTAAATTATATCCACGCTGTGGAAAATTAAATCCAGATGGATTGGCAGCATTAGCAAGAGCTGATGATTATGAACAAGTTAAAGCAGTTGCAGAATATTATGCTGTACGTATACATTAATTAATATAACGTTCTTTTTTGGAAAAATAATGTTCATTCGTTTATGCATACAATGTGCAAAAATGCATTTCTTTTATTTTTGCAGGAATATAGTGCTTTATTTGAAGGTGCCGGCAATAACCCAGGTGACAAGACTTTAGAAGATAAATTCTTTGAACATGAGGTAAACTTAATATCACTAAGAAATATTATTGCAAAACAAAAAATATTGTTATAACATTTTTACTGCTTTAGGTTCGTCTAAATGTTCATGCCTTCCTTCAACAATTTCATTTTGGAGTGTTCTACAGTTATCTTAAGTTAAAGGAACAAGAATGTCGCAATATTGTATGGATAGCAGAATGTGTTGCACAAAAACATAGAGCTAAGATAGATAACTACATTCCAATCTTTTAATGTTCTTGAAACATATTGTTGCAACAATTATTTGTTCAATTATACAGTAATATACAAAAAAAGGTGACTCTTTCTCCTTTTTATGTTTCAAACATGATTAATCGCAAATGCACAGTATTTAGGATTGTCAAAAAGGGGAAACTGCCAAATACATTGAAAATATAAATATTTAATTCATGAGTAAATGAAGAAGGCAATTATATGTCTAGCCAAATTGAAAGAATGGTATTAAAACTATCACTTATCGTATATAATGTATTTTATTGTAGACCAGTATACTTGTTGTGTCTTGTATTACCCAATGTTACAATTATCAATTCCACTGTAATATAAAATAATATATTATACATTCCATCAGATTGGAAAACTCGATCTAAATCATGTCTCATACGTGTGAGCTTCATTCATTGATNGTATTTTATTGTAGACCAGTATACTTGTTGTGTCTTGTATTACCCAATGTTACAATTATCAATTCCACTGTAATATAAAATAATATATTATACATTCCATCAGATTGGAAAACTCGATCTAAATCATGTCTCATACGTGTGAGCTTCATTCATTGAT